GTAATGGAGAATAGTGGGGAGGCCAAGGGGACAGGGGTATGGTGGGGAGGACGAGGGGACGGTAGAGTGGGAGATGGTAGGGGGGATGGTGGAGTGAAGAATAGTTGGGAGGACAAAGGGATGGGGGAGAGGAGGAATGGTGGGGAGGAATGGGAAACTAGGGAAGGTTGCTGTGGCTGTGACGGAGTGAGTGTGTGTGCTCACCTATTTGTGCTTGCGGGGGTTGAGCTCTGGCTCTTTGGTCCTGCCTCTCAACTGTCAATCAACTAGTGTACAGATTCCTGAGCCTACTGGGCTCTATCATATCTACATTTGAAACTGTGTAGGGAGTCAGCCTCCACCACATCACTGCCTAATGCATTCCAATTGTCAACTACTCTGACACTAAAAAAATTCTAATATCTCTGTGGCTCATTTGGGCACTCAGTTTCCACCTGTGTCCCCTAGTGCGTGTGCCCCTTGTGTCAAATAGCCTGTCTTTATCAACCCTGTCGATTCCCTTGAGAATCTTGAATGTGGTGATCATGTCCCCCCTAACTTTTCTGTCTTCCAACGAAGTGAGGTTTAATTCCCGTAGTCTCTCTTCGTAGATACACACCTGGTATCTTCCTGACAAGGTCCACATACAGCATCCTAGCCTTAGTGCAAACGATAGCTTCAGAGACACTATCGCCATGTAATTGACGCTCATTCATCCACACCAGCCGTTCCATATCATCTAGGAGTTTTGGACGTTTGCTGGTAACCTTGGTAACTCCTTTGACCACGTCAAGCGTCTTAAATTTATCATTCCCCTTCAAAATGGTGGAAATTGTTGAGGGAGCCCTGCCATACTGCCTGGCAAGATCAGCCACACGAATACCATACTCGTACTTTGCTATAATTTCCTTCTTCGCTTTCACAGTGATTGCCTCTTTCTTCCCCTTGCCAACACTTTATTTCACAGGCTACTTCTTGGACAATACCGTGCATTCAGAATTGTTATCACAAACCCACAAAAAAAAAAACACGAATATCACAATTATATGCGGAGTGATGCAAACTGGTTGTGCACGACACCAATACAACACTGTCGTCAGCGGCAGTCGGAAATGTGCTGGAAGCAGCGCGATCCCACCTTGTGGTGTTGACGTTACTCAAACGAGCATTCGCCACACGAGATGAATTGTCGCCAATCGGGCCGGCCATTACCCAAAATGTTCGCCATTTGAGGTGATCATTACTCGAGGGTACCACTGTATATAGATATGGTGTATGTGGTTATTTTGTATGTACATACACGTACGTACACACACATGCACGTGCGCGCGCACACACACACACAGTGGAAGACGGCTGGAACTATAAAGTGAGAAGGTGGTGGAAGCCAACACGGTATGTAGTTTAAAGGTGTCAAATGGCAAAGAATACTGGGAAGACAGGACAATTACGGGGCCTGTGGCTGAGTGGACAGCACTTGGGACTCGTAATCCTAGGGTTCAATCCCCGGCACAGGCGGAAACAAATGGGCAGAGTTTCTTTCACTGATGCCCCCATTACCCACTAGTAAATAGGTACCTGGGAGTTAGACAGCTGCTACAGGCTGCTTCCTGGGGGAAGGGGGGGGTTAAAAAAAAACCCAGTTGATTGACAGTTGAGAGGTGGGCCAAAAGAGCAGTGCTCAACCCCTGCAAGCACAACTAGGTGAATACACACACATGCAAAATAATACGTATTAATGTAAATTGTATTTATACACAATTCACATGCTATCATAATTGTAAAATGAATTGCATGCATAACAACAACTAAATACACAAATATAATTTGATTTTATAGCAGAAACAATTACTTTCAGTGCATATACAACTTACCTTTATTTACAAGAAAAAAGGCAGAGAAATAATCTTACCAAGATATATTCTATCATGCCATAGATTATTATTGGGGGCAGGTGTTGAGACTTTAGAGCTAAAAAATGAAAAGAATGGTATTGAACCTGTATTAACCACTGTACTGCACATAGCGCTTTATGGCACTCTGAGAGTTGTGTTTTTTTAATTAGGCTATATTTAATATTTTTAATGTTTTTATCTCAGTGTTTTGAAACATTTTGCCATTAACTTTACCTAAATATATATAAAAACAACAAAAATAAGTCCTTGACAACTGCGTTGCGAATTTTTTGCCAAAACCAGGTGAGCAGTGCAGTGGTTAAAGGAGGCTGCTAAAACACAACAAATACAATTGGAACGTGCACTCATCTATGATGTGGCATGTGTACTCACCTAGTTGTGCTTGCGGGGGGTTGAGCTTTGGCTCTTTGGTCCCGCAAGGTGTGTGTGTGATGTGACAGCAGCATGTACTTGCATATGATATGAGAAGTGTGCTCATTTATTTGTACTCACCTATTTGTGCCTGCAGGATCAGGGATTAGCTCTTGGACCCCACCCTTTTCAGCTGCCACTTGTCTACTGCAATGACTCTTGACCTATTTTCTTATCAATTGTACTTTTAAATTTATAAATGGAGTTTGCTTCAACAACCTGCTCCTTCAGTTAATCCCATTTTCCCACTACTCTTATGGTATGTTATGGTTCTAAAACCTCTACGACTCGTCTGAGTCTCATGCTTCCATCCATACCCTTTTGTTCTATTGGTATTAATTGTGAACCACTTGAGCTGGACGGTACGGTGACAGTCTCGCTTCTTGCAGGTCAGCGTTCATTTCTCCACTGTCCAAATGTTTGGGAACTGTCCCTGTTTTTCATCCTATCCTAAAGCCTTATCTCCCTATCCCAATGCAATATAGTCATAATGACTTTGTGCATTATCTTGATAACTACCTTACTGTGCCCCATTGTGAACATTTCCTCTTTTCCACTGTCAATCCCCTAGGTATTTTATATACCTCCATCATGTGTACCCCTCCCCCTACTCTTATCTGGTTAATCAGGTTTAGTTCCTTCAGTCTTTACATACCCCATCCCTCGCAATTCTGGGATGAGCCTAGTTGCAGACTTTTGAATCTTTTCAATTTTCTAAATGTGTTTCTTTAGATGGGGGCTTGATGATGAGGCGGCATACTCTAAAACTGGTCTCGTGTAGGCAGTGTACAGTGATCTAAATGCCTCCTTATTTAGGTTCCCCAATGACTTTCTGACTTTTGCTAGTGTAGAGTATGCTGCTTTCATTATCCTATTTGTATGAGCCTCTGCAGTTTTGTTTGGTGTTATATCTACTCTCAAGTCTTTTTCTCTAGTCATTATAGGGAGGTAGTTCCCCCTAATTGTACACAGTACTGTTCCATTGGTCACCTGAGGCCTGTGTAATGTAGCAGGAATGTGTACTCACCTATGATGTAACAGGTCTGTGATGAGATAAAGCGAGTATTCATTTATGGCATAGCAGGCTTGCAACATGTGGCAGGTGCATTAATAACCTGATGTCCCAGATGTGTGCCTACCTAGTTGTGTCTCTGGGGAGCTAAATTTAGCTGCAAGACTGAATGTGGTGTATTTATATTGTACCTCGCAATGTTCCCATATTGACATCAACATGTCAACATCTTGTTGTTGTTAATGAAGATTGTGTACTCCACTTCTGCCTCAAACTCGTTCCACTTCCTTATCACCATCACAGCATACAAATATTTTATTACATTCCTCACTCAAAGCTCAGAAACTAGAATTCCAGTAACCAGAACCTTCAGGTATCCTTCAAGTATTGGTGTTATCTCGAGTGAACTTCGAGACAACACCAATACGGCTTGGACATCAGAAACATTTGAGATGCTGACACCAGCACTATGAGGGCATTAAATGTCAACTACAATACCAAACGACTGTCATCCTTCTCTGCAGTCGATTGAGTAAATTCACGTCCATTCAACAGAATGGCAAGGCTCTAACATGTGCCATTGTTGTTACAATAAATCTAATGTCAGGTAGCCTAGAAAGACCAAGTACCACATGTCCGTACCAAACAATCGGCCTCACAAAATCTACCCCATAACTGAACATATCCAATAGTGGCAAAACCTGACCCAACACTGGTAAGAGCTCAACCAAAACAAGATGATGACACACTCAAGATACTGCAGTTACAATACAAAATATATATATAAACCTTTGTTGTTTTATCTATGGGCTACTTTTCTCAAGTTTAACAGCAACAGCCATACGTCTCTGCTTAAACTTAAAATAAAAGCAATCAAATTAGTACGATTAAACATTTTCAAGATAATATTTTTCCATAAGAAAAAGACCCGGGGTAATTCTACCGTAGATACCTAATGAAGTGTAACACGTATTTAGCAATCTCTCAAGAATAGTGGTACAAAACACACATACTGTACAGTACTATTTGAATACACTCTTCTACAGCCTGTCGTAACATGCATGTTAGATTGTGCTAAAATGAAATTGAATGGCATAAATATAACACTGATATAGGAGTAAAGCAAGCAACCAAACTCTAGCAAGTGGTCTCTCAAACCCACATACAGTACCTACTTATCACCTCAGTGTGGAAGGCACCTTACCGAATGGTATAATCACCCACTTTTTAATCAATACATCAATTGAATACAAAGCACACATACCTGAGACACTGCACCATATCTGCTATATGCTCAATGATGAGTAATTGATTGAAATGCAGATATGGGTAATGGTAAGGTGTGTTCCACACACTACGATGACCAGTCGACCAATCGCTTTCAACACTGGTAATACTTTCGTAGCACAAGTGGCAGCATCGCTGCCTGGAATACCACTAGCCATGAGAATGAATCCCTTGAACTACTCTTGTATCAGAATGCTCGGTGATACTTATCAAGTTAATATTTACCATTAAGTGCTCTGCACACCAACTAATAGAATGCCTTATTAGTATGAAAAATTACTAATAAAAAGTTCAGCATATAAATGGCTGAAGGAGTTAAAATCTAGATTTAGTGCTATCAGAATTTTATCAAGAAAATCTTGATCAAATAAATTAAAATGGCCTCAGTTGTTTACTTGTCAGCTTTCCAAAGCCTGCAAAAGAAGAGAAATTTACGATAATTGCCTCTAATACCAATAGAGCTATAATACTACACGAACAGAAGTAAACATTACACAACTTCTGAAAATATGTTACATACATAGCAGTCATCTGCTTCTCAGCTTTCTATTAATAGGTGTCTAGAGAAAAATTTGACAAAGTTCCCAATTTATATATGAAAAACAAAAGCTAATCTAACTCAGTTAAAATACCAAAATAACAATTTAATTATTTTGTACAGTAAGAGTAAGGTTTTTTTGAGTTTGTGAAAAGCTCCTTTTTGAGCCAGCTCATTTGATTGCTTCCTCATGTAAGATCTCACCATGATCTTGATGTGGATTGTGCTATCTGGCAGGTACAACAAATAGAACAGAGCCTTGCAGCAAAGTTGTAAACATTCTTGTAGGGTTACAATATGCTGAGGGAGTCACTGATGTAATCTTAAATAAGCCTGGAGTGAATGTCAAAGTGTACCCACAAAAAATTCAGAGTTCACCCAAGCTCTCACTCGTGATCACACTTGACCACCAATCAAAACTCGCACCACATACCGCCCATCACCAGGTAGAAGCAACTCACTCACTCACTCCAAGGTTGTCGGACTGTGTTGTTGTTGGATGTAACACATCAGAGTGGGACAAACATAATTTACAGCTAAAAATAATCACGAGCAAAAATAGGAAGTAAAATGAGAGGGTCGGTATCAGTGAAATACAGGGCAAGTGAAATGTTGCCACTTTGGACCATGCAGCCTAGTTGAGGAGAGCCATCATTTAGCAGCTGCCTATGATCACATGCGAAAGTTTTGAAGAGCTTTGATTTATTGTGGAATGACCTTGCAAATTTTTCCAACTGTCCTTTCTGGGTCGGACTGAATATTCACCAATGACTCCCTTGGCTCAGTATTAAATCTAAGATGAGTGGTAACTCTCCACAGAGCTGTGCTATTAGTTACACCTGCCTGACTGCACCAACCATGACTAAGCACACAGTTAATATTTTATGATGGAACATCTGAATACAAGAGCCCAAAAATATTGTAAAATTAAAGATATTATAATACCTGTCAGCATTTCGTGACTTCTTGTTCCGTAGCGTTATGTGTTTTATTGACTCTTCTGTAATAGGGCCAACATAAGGTAAGGTAATAGCTGGTACTGGTGGAGGAACACGAATCCGTAGACCCCAAATGCTGGTTTTCTTCTTTATTTCACGTCCACATTTAAATCTGCCAAGACAGGATATCATATCATATAGTACTAAAAAATATTCAGAATTAAATATCTCCAAACTTTTAAGACAATATCAATTATAAATTAAAACAAAAAATACTATACAAGTGTTTAAAAGAACACCACACTGATACTGACGGCTGCCTTTTTATGTTGAACACTAAACTACTGAATATCATACCTTGGTCTATTTCCTTCCAGCACTCTCAATACTTCATGCTTCCGTTCACTAACTCCCATGTTTTGAAGCTGAAATTGAAAAAAGCAACAATTCATCATAGTTCAGTTTAGTTCATTATTATGCACCCCATACCCATCCTGTGGTGGTTATCTTGAGATGATTTCGGGGCTTAGAGTCTCCGCGGCCCGGTCTTCGACCAGGCCTTCTTTTTGTTACCCCCCCCCCTATAAATTTCCTATTTTTGTCTATAAAAATGAGGTTATGAAAGTAATCTATATAAATAAAAATGGAAATGTTCGTTTGTTCAAAATTGCTAATCTCCGAACGAAAGTTCTTCACCGATTGCTTTGAAATTTTCACACAACGTTCCATTCGCACCAGAGAGGGTTTTTATTTACTTACTATATATGTGTCACGTCTGTAATGGGGAAAAACGTTGTTTTTTTTTAAACTGTATTTTTTCATGTGTTTTTCATGAGGGAAATCTTCAAAACCTCTTTACCGATTACTTTGAAATTTTGACACAATGTTGCATTCGAATAGGCGCGTCTTTTTGTATACCTAATATTTACATGCGTCACCTGTGACAGCAAAAAACATTTTTTTTTTTTTTTTTAAACAGCGCCATCTGTTGGACGTAAGAGCAACGCAGGCTATAATCTCCAAAAGTTCTTCACTGATTGCTTTGAAATTTTGACATAACGTTCCATTCGAATATGCACGTTTTTTTTTATATACTTACTATATAGATGCCACTCCTGTGACATGTAAAAACATGCGGTTTTGAAAAACAGCGTCATCTGTTGCACATAAGACCAACACATGCTATACTAAATATGTTACGATTCCATTTCAATGTTTCCGATTTCATTGAAAACATGAATTTTCATAAATTTCAATTTTTTTCATTTTGATTTAATTATTTTGTGTGACACTGCGTTGGAATTGAGTTGTGTTGTTTACCATACCGTTCATTACGTGTGTATGGATTATTTTTTTTATTATTTCATTACTTTTCATTCCATTTTTTAACTGTTGTTCTTATATTTCAGTGATGGGAACATCTGTGGCCAGATTCGCGAAGCAGTTACGCAAGTACTTCCGAACGTGTATATCTTTCCTCAATCTTTGACGACTTTGGTTACATTTATTAAACAGTTTAGAAGGATGAAAACGTCCCAATCAACTGTTGTTGTTATAAACGGCCTCCTGGTGCTTCGCAGCTCATTAACTGTTTAATAATCGTAAGCAAAGCCGCCAAAGATTGAGAAAGGATGTACAGGTTCACAAGTGTTTGCGTAATTTCATCGTGAATCTAGCCCCAGATCATTTGATGTTCCCAATTTTCTGATGGGAACATCGTATCATTTGATCACCAGACGAGGGAGTGGGGAATGATGGGAAGGACGAGGGGAGACGGGAGATGGGGGATGGTGAAGATGAAAAGGGGACAGGGGAGGGGTAATGTTGGGGGATGACGAGGGGACAGGGGAGGGGTAATGTTGGGGGATGACGAGGGGACAGGGGCGTTGGAGATGGTCAGGACGAGGGGACAGGGGAATGGAGAATGGTTGGTGGACAAGGGACAGGGAAGTGGTGGATAGTGGGGAGGACGTGGGGACGGAGGGAATGGTAGGGAGGACGAGGGGACGGCGGCGTGGGGAATGGTTCAGAGGACGAGGGGATGCTGGAGTGAGTGATGATAGGGAGGAAAAAGGGAAGAAGGAGTGAGAAATGGTTTGGAGGAACAAGGGGACGGAGGACAGGGTGGTTTGAGACGGGAAGGTTGCTGTGGCTGAGCCACAGCAATGCATGGCCGGTACAGCTAGTGAGAAATAAAATTTTAAAACTAAATATAACTCATTACATATCAAAGAGGTCACACCCAGTTGATAGGTATATTAAATTAATTAAAGCCTAAAATTACGAAAAATTCATTAAAACTACACTGTACAATGGAACCTCGATTCAACAAAAATTATTTTGGCAAATTTGTTCACCAAAATACTTTCCAGGCCAGATTTACTCACCTGATTTAATGAACAAGTGTTCAGTAAAGCAGGGGGCAGGCAGGGGGAGGGAGGGGGGGGGGTGCAGATTTGCTTAGAATGTTGGGCCAGAGTTCACAGACTGATGGGAAAGTTGCCCATCATATGATATATTAAAATTTAAATTTCATGAGGTGAAATTAGCTCAATTTACATGGGAAATATTAGGACATGAATAGTAACACACATTAGCTTAATATATACAGCTCCAATCATGTTTTAAATTATTTTCATAGATGGATTACAACATAGCTGGACAGCATTACAAGAAAAGTTGGAGCCTTGGGAAAACTAATGAGGATATTTACAACCAAATTCTTTAGTTCTTTTTCATTTCCTGATGCAGCAGTTTTCTTTCCCTAAAATATAGGCCCTCTTCCTGAGGAAACAAGGTTTCAAGGCCAGGGCATAGAAAAGGTGGTGAAATTGCACTGCAAAACAGGTTCTCTTTGTCACAGTCCTTTATATGGAAAGTGTAAAGTATAAGTAAAATCACTCCATAGAGCAAGGGAAATAAGCATTAACTCTTAATATTACTTCAATTGCATTTCTAATAGTTTGCTTAGATGGAAGCAACATTAGGACAAAGAAACAGCTGAAGCTATATATGTATATTTTTGTCTTACAGAAAGCATCTCCAGTTGCAACAAACCAGGGTAGGTTCTTAATAGTTCGACGAATCGAGGTTGCAATGTACATGTATGCAAACAAGTGAATATGCATGATGTTTAACTCACCCCGAGTGGTGCTTGTAATAGTTCCCAGTTGTCATTAATCCACTGAGTTATCGTTTCTTCATACTCAAAGTATGTTTTTGAATCTTGTAGCGTTAAATTAAATATTGATAAGTGTACAATGTCCACCCATTTCGTATCTAGTCTATGAAGGAACTCATTGCCCTCATTACACAAAGCGCACACAAATACATAAAATCTGAAAAGACAAAGAAAAAATAATAATAATAATAATATTTGGTTTTAGAAAGCACAAAGATCTGATAACAATATGGTACAGTGCTGTATAACACAGATGTGAGTAGCTTTACAATAAATAATGCTTCACCTGTAAGGACCTCATCAAATCTAACAAATAAAATACACAGGGCAAGTTCTTAAAAAGAAATTACAAAGGAAGGAGGAATGGAAAGACAAGGATAGAGATGGAAAGGATAATGTATCGCAATTATATTTCCTAAGCATTAATTAAGTGAGGTGGTAAGGTTGAATCTTCCCAGATTCTGTTCGGTGGTGCTGTAGTGTTTCATGTTTTGCAGATTCTATTCACTTTCCCTTAATGTTGTTTTTTTGGTGATGATGAATTTCATCCTTGAAATTCATTAGGTGTTACTACTGGTTCTTGTAGTGACACATGCGTTGTTGGTGCCATCGAAATACTGTAGCTCATTTTCACAAATCGTAGCATCCGAGTTTCAGGATATAACTTGCCAATGACCAGTGCATTTTGTCAACCATGTGACTGTCGTAGTAGAGTTTATTTTCTAACAAGGGAATTAACTGTAGCAATTGCTTTGTGGACAACCTCAATACCAGCTTTATTGTAAGTGTTTAGCCTATTAGTAACTACAGCAAGAGTGGTCTTACGTGTCCCGCCACAAATATTTTTATATCTCGCATATTATTAAATCTCTAGATATTTGAGTTTTGTTTCATATCAGCTTCAGAAATTGTGCATGTTGGTAGCATCCATAACATCTTTCAGAGAGTTCCACTTGTTGATCATCCGTACAGAGTACAAGTACAGTACAGTACTGTACTCTATGTTTCTTCGACGCATTTGCATTTCCACTTCCCACCGACGTCCACATCAAATTTCTTTATAGTTTACAGGCTGATCTTGTCCACCTTGTCATACTGGGAGAACGAGCCATTGTTCTAGCTGTATTTTGGTACCATTTTATTGTTGACCTTTAGTTATAAAACATTTAAAGTTTACGAAGGCATCTATGATACAATGGCACTCTTTAGGAAGGCATCTACGATACAATGGCACTCTTTAGGAAGGCATCTATGATACAATGGCACTCTTCAAGGAATTGCTCACTACAAACCCTCAAAGCTCCAAGAAGGAAATCAAGCACTATATCTCATCGCATCCTTTTATCATGATAGCAATATTGTTTTTGTATGTTGCAGAGACTTGATATTTGTGCATTAACATGTCAATATTAGTACACTATGTCTAGGAAAGAATTATTTATATTTCTAAAATTAACTGCATAATAGATTCACATGCAGTGATGATCAGTGATCATCAACATAGTGAATCTATTTCAGCGCTCAGGATGATGCTAGAAAATAGTCCTGACTCAATAATTCAATTAATAATACTGTAAGCACAGTTATAAACAAAGATCCAATTTCATGTAAACTGCGCATGAGACTCAAAGCAGAGGAAAATTTAGTGTATGCAGAAGAGGAAATTCAATACCATAAGGCAAACAGATTTTCCTTTAGTTCATAACCTTGATAAACAGTGAGATGACATTCGGACTAGTTAGTGTGTCTTATTTTTCACCTTATTGTCTATTTTATGTAGTAAATATGCAATTTAAAATGTGTAGTGCTAATAATACTGTACATAGCATTTTTTTTTTTTATAAATTTCCTAAAATAGCAGAACATCTTTAAGGGTTACTGTAATAAGATGGCATTTTCCAGTGTCAAATTGTTCAATATCTTCCTGGCTTTCTTACAATAGTCTTTTTCCTGAATCTCCCACCATTGGGTAGGTCAAGAAATCCCTGCATTTTTGCAGTAGGATGACTGTCCATGATGACAATTCATTTTGTTATGGTAAACTTATTACTCTAGCAGTGAAGCAAAACAATGGCTCATACATAACCCTTCATGAAATCTAGGGAATTGGATCTGTAGTAGGATGCAACAAGGACCCGTAGCAAGCCGAAGTTCGAGACTTAACGATTCAGTTTCAGTGTGATGCAGAGGTCTACTGGAGAAAGCATTAAATCTCCATCATCCACACTTATATCATTCACTATTTTGGCATAGTCCTGTATGTTTCAAAGTTCTATCCTGCTCTCAAAGCTCATCTAAATGCCTCCGATACTTGTCTTCCTCCCTGAGCTTTCTCAATTATCTTCCAATGTGCGTGTGGGGGTGAGCATTTACCTAAATAGACTTGAGGATAAAGAGGATTAGCTCTTTAGACCTGCGTATTCAGTATTTGGTCCATCACTACTCTCAATTTTCCATGACTATTGTACCTATCCTTAATGTTGTGGATTCTAAATGGCCACAACTACCTATTCCTTCAGTTCAATCCACATATTCACTAATCATAAACTAAAGTAGTACTTACTTACATCCCTGTGGGTCATTTGTATTTCCAGTTTCCACCAGTGTCCCCTAGTCCTACTTTTCATTTGGAAGTCTATCCTTCGTCACTTTGCCTATGTCTCTCAGAATCTTGTACATCATGACCATGTCTCCTCTGGATCTTCTTCACTCCAGTATCTGTAAATTCAATTCTTTGAGTCTGACCTCATAGCTCAGATCTCTTACTTCCGGTATCAGCCTTGCGTTTCAGTACGTGTGGGTTCCATCCCGGTGGGTGTTGGTGTGTGAGCATATTGGACTGTTGTGGTTGTGTAGTAGTTGGAAACTGGGTTGGTGCGAGTGGAAGGTAGGAGTAGACATAGGAGTCTGAGAATATGGGCAGAAGAAAATCCTGAAAGGAGGAAAGGTGGGAGGGTAATAAAAGTAAAGGTTGGTGCGGTGGAAGAAAGGGTATCGAGATCGGTGCAATACATGGAGGTGAGGAAATGGTATCGGGATTAATGCAGACGTGACATGTAATAAAAAATAACAATAAAAAGGTTCTAGGGATTTGTGGGGTGATTACCAAGCTCTCTAAGCTTCCCACTCCATAGTTAAATAATTATATTTCAGAGACAAGAAATACACATATCAACAAGAGCTTAAAGTGGGCTATAAACGGTACATAAAGATAATTATTTTTATGATTACAGATATGATTTTTTAGGCTTCAAGTGAATACAATGAGTCATTCTCCAAACACCAAACTGAAATCTCAAGAAGACAAAATTAAACATGATAAAACTATTGGGAACACTTACTCAATATATGTAATAATTGTACTAACAGAAATTACCGCAATGAGCAATTAACACTTTGATGCTCTGGGCACACATGATCCACACAACCCCGGGTGGGTTTGGGCATTCCGCAGGAGTGCGCAGTAATTCTGAAAAGTGTATAATCTTTTCAACTTTGCTACCTCAATTCTCGTCCTAGGTTTTTCAATTTGGTATCATTGTGTTCGCAATAGAATTCTCTACAGCACTAAAGGCATATTAAGTCCAAATGCCCAGCGTACAATCCGCAACAAACAGAGAAAGTTAGAGCATGTTACCCCGGAGCGCGCTGGACCGATAAAATGTGTACACTCCTTTCATTTTGATTACCTCAATTCTCGTTCTAGATCTTTCATTTTGGTATAAATTTGGCTCACGGGTAAAACTCAGCCAAACTTAGGGTGGCACGCTGGGCCATTTGACCTTGTATGCATATATTCCTTTAGAGAATTCTATTGTGAATAATTTCATACCAAAATGAACGACATAGCATGAAAATTATTGAGGTGAGAAAATTGAAAAGATTATACAGGCTATAGTGCGGGTGTTTTGGGTGTGCAGATGGGTGCTCGCACACGAGTAACGCTCGGCGCATTTTCTGCTTTGCTGCGGGTAACGCGCCTTTTTTTTTTTTTTTTTACCTTGTATGCATATAAGATAAAAAATATTTTTTTGTTTAAAGTGGGAAAAAAGTTGGTGGGAAAAACAGAAAAAAGTACATTATACACATTTTAGTGTGGATGCGCACTCACGGGAAACACCTGGCTGACCTCGGGGCAAGCTAGGGTGCTCACCCAGAGCCGCACAAAGTGTTAACAGCAATATTACCAAATTTGCCCATGACAATAAAAAAATAAATAAAATGGCAAATGTAGTGCAATGCTGACAAATACCAGTATCGGGTTCTGACTTTAAAAAGCAATAATTGAGCTACCAGATCTGATCTAAATAATATAAAGATTACCACATTGGATAAAAAAAAGTTGGGAGTCATAATTAGTAAGAATCTTAAGCCAAGAATTTAATGTACAATAGAACCTCGGTTTTTGTATGCCCGTTTTCATATTTTTCGGTTCTCGTACTAAATTTCTTGGAAGAGTTTAATTCAGTACTCGTTGTTTGCCTCGGTTTTTGGACTTTGTTTATACACATATGGGTCCACCGTGCATGTGGCACTTCAGTTTACCAGTCTCTCCCCCCTAGGGATGATCGCATTTGAATTCTTTGTGAAGACTTTCATTTTTTTTGTGCTTTTTTGGTTTCTGAACATAAAAGTTATTACATATTTATCACCCCATGGGTTCCAAAAAGTCAGTAGTAATGTTCAACCTAAGAATATAGTTGTGAGGATGATGATAGTGGTAAAACAGAAGATCATTCATAGTGAGACAATGTGATGTCTCACTACAGACAAGTGTTAAAATGTAGGGAAAAACAAGTGTCTATAGACAGATTCTTAGTAAGACAAGCAAGCAGTGAGCCACAACCAGGTCCTAGTGGTATGTCTACAAAACCTGAGAGAGAGAGAGAGTACCCCAGAAATGTCATCACTGCTGTTATAATGGAAGGGGACTCCCCTTCCAAACACTAACACCTCTCCTCCTCCCTCACTGTCTTCCTTCTATACACCAACAAGAGTCTTCAATGAAGGTAAGGTACCTAGGTGTATTATGCTGTATAACATGTATTTTTAGTTAATATACTACTTGGGGGTGTGGAACGGATTAATTAAATTTACATCATTTATGGGAAAATTTGTTTCGGTTTTCGTACCGTCTCTGGCAACAGATTACTGGTAAATACGAAAACTGAGGTACCACTGTATAAATGTTCAAAATAAAGCGAACAGAACATTTTGAATCATACCTTGAAGCATTAGAAACAAAAACACTTGATATTATTCATTAGCTTCATCCTGCCCTTGTTAAGTCTCATATTTTGCACTTCAGTTTGGGATGCTGTACAGGGGTACCTTAGTTTATGAATTTAATCCGTTCCTGGAGATGGTTCGTAACCCAAAAATTCGTAAACCGAAGGGGATTTCCCCATAAGAAATAATGGAAAATGAATTAATCTGTTTCTGACTCCCCAAAAAATTAACTTCAAAGTAAATTTTATACCTAATTCACCCAAATTCACTACAAAAGTACAAGTTACTACTTACCTTTACTGATGACTCTTGTTGGCGTATGGAAGACGGTGAGGAGGGAGGAGAGGTGTTACTGTTTGGAAGGGAGTCCCCTTCCATTATAACATTAGGCAGTGAGGACTTCTCTGGCACGTTTTGCCTGCATACCACTAGGACCTGCTTCTGGCTCGCTGCATGATTTTCTCATTGAGGTAGGGACATCCTCTACTGCCTCCTCCTCCTCCTCCTCCCCTGAAGATTTGTTGTACTGCCTAACTAGTTCAACAACACTAGTACCATTTTCATGTTTACGAATGATCTCTCGTTTTTCCTCTATGGTCATTCTCACTTATGATTTCTTGCCTTGAACCTTACCACTGGCTTTCTTGGGACCCATGGCGAGATATATAATAACTTTTATGCTCAAATAGCCAAAAATCCGAAGAAAAAAATTGTAAATCCTTGCGAAGATTCAGGCAGGATAGTCACTGGGCGCAAGGCACTGGTAAACTGAGGTGCGATCACCGTGCCACCACGTGCTAGGTCGGCCGTATGCATATCAACAAACTCACATCCCGAGGTAAAGTTCCTAATTCGATTTAAATTTTCCGAACAAATCGGGTTCGTAACCCGAAAAGTTCGTAAATGGGCATTTGTAAACCGAGGTACCATTGTATTACGAAATGTACATAAAATTTCATTACATGTGTGCAGAAAAGGATGGGAAAAATAATGCTGGGTATGAGGAACCTCCTTAAGAGTAGTAAAGGTAGAACAAGACTGAAGTACTGCATACAAATGGAGGACAGGTGTATAACAAGACATAAAAGAGTAATACAAATACAACGATAAATTAAACAAAATAATGGTTAAAAATTGGATTAGTCAAGATTCAGAAGAGAACAGAGTAAATACAGTACAGGTTTAAAAAGGGGGGTTAAGATTTATATACGTTGCCAGGTAACATAATAGACATATGCTAAGCTGTTTAAAACATAGGTTAGGATCAAATAAATGGGTGTGTGATAATGGTGGTGACTTGTGGTAATGTAATGACCATTTGAGTGGAAATATGTACAGGAATAAGGGATTGGAATCGAGTTGCAGAAGTGATAATTGGGATGAGAAAACTGCCAAATGCCCCAGACATTCAAGCTATGCACTTTAGAGTTATCTCTACAGTACCTCTACAGTTGAAGCGTTGTAAGAGCTAACTTCACATTATCTTCTAATCACTTTCTTTCCAGTACAATACAAAGAAAATATAAATGTCTAAAACTTCTGTACCTATCACCATATAAGAGTGGGTAGTGTAAACAATCTACGCAGGCTTCATGAAACCATTGTTTACACCGTTGACACTGGAGCATGCGGTTGTACCACTCCCCAGGTCCACCGCAGTAGCAGAACGTTTGTTCTCTGTTGCTTTTGTGACCTTGGTCCCACGTTAAGGAATTCATCTGCAAATAGTAGTTATTATTACTACTAATGCTATTATTAATACTATTACTAGCAACACTACCATTAAGCCAATGTTTAATCTACCAATATAGTATGTTATTTTTGTTCTAAAAGATTAATTATTTGCATGCATAACAAAACAAAGCCCTACATTAGTGCACATATAATGCAAGTGATTTTGCACATAACAGTACATCAATTATTGTATTACAAAAATCTAATAAGAATAGGGAAAAGAATGTTTTGCAATTATACAGACTGGCACAGGTTGAGGTGACTCTTTTTGGGTGCCATGAGATGGAGCTCCTAGATTCTGTTGGGCTTTAATGGAATGGTTAGCAATTTCTTGCATGTTGCTATATAGTCTACATGAACCTCAGCACTCAAACTTTCTTTTGTTGTTTTACACACAAAGAATTACATTCTTGCATTATAACACCTCTCAAACATTCTGCAAACACCCCTGAACCCTAATATACCTTAATGAAGAAACAGAAAGTAATGTTATTATGAGAAACGAAACTAAAAAAAATTCTACTTTATTTTTCGCTATTAGAAGTAAATTAAGTAAATCTGGTTTTTATCAAGAAAACAAAAATGATACAAAACTACTTGTTTGCCATTTGTATTTTTACATTACACTAGCTACCCAATAACGAACTACTTGCACTAGAAGCTAATGAAGCAATGCAGGCTACCTAACCATAGTCCTCCACTGAAAAATGCTTCACATTCACACTAATACTGACACTAAACCAATTCACATAATCTACTAACATCATAAGGCAGGACTAGTTTATTATTTTCTTCGGGTTCATGTGAGTGCTGAGGACGCGGTCGCTGTTTTCGTGGAGAACTCTCCCGTGATTTTTTACGCTCTTCTTTCTCCATGGTCGAATGTCCAGCACACCTTGGACACTCCCACTGGCTGTCTGGCTCACAGTACTCTTTCCCTATTCTTGGCTAGGGATAAAACTGAGCATTAATATTTAAAACTTTATACTATTAAGTAGATATCTTAAAGAGCTAAAAAATATTAAACTGAGCAATAATATTTAAAACTTTATACTATTAAGTAGATATCTTAAAGAGCTAAAAAATATTAAACTGAGCATTAATATTTAAAACTTTATACTATTAAGTAGATATCTTAAAGAGCTAAAAAATATTAAACTGAGCATTAATATTTAAAACTTTATACTATTAAGTAGATATCTTCAAGAGCTAAAAAATATTAAACTAAAGAGAGACTTATTTAAATGGACGACAAACTATGCAAATGATATAAGACTTAACATGAAGCATATACTGTACAGTATAGTGGAAACAATCTACATGCCAACAAGTTTATATTAATATCTTGACAACAAATGAGGCACACTTCAACAGAAAGAACCTAACCAAGAATACAGGCTGTCACAACAGTCTAAGTTTGTGCCCTCTTTTCCCAAGATAAAACTTTTACATTAGTGTGCACTAAAACTGCATTATCAAGAATTATTTCCTAACACAACAGAGTAAGCCACACACCTGGAGGCAATCCTGATGGTAACCCTGTTCACAAATGTAACATAATACTATCTCATTCGTGTCCCAGCTCTTGGAAGACTTGCAGATAACACACAGGTCATCTGACTCTGGCAGCTTCAGCTTGGTGATATCTTTATACAAGGACCAATGTGCCGTACTGTCCTCAAACTGTACCAAACAACGTTCATTTTCACAATCAACCTGAAAGTTCAAAATAAAACTGTAAACCCCTACATATAACTCTTCATAACAATGCTTAGCTTGGGAGCCGGAGACAACCTCAACAATACAGTCAACAAAATACAAAACTGAGTAAGCAGGCGGGTTTCAAACTCATTTGGGAAGCCCAGAGAGATATCTCAAGAGGCTTTCGGGGCTTTAGTGTCCCCGCGGCCCGGTCCTCGACCAGGCCTCCACCCCCAGGAAGCAGCCCGTGACAGCTGACTAACTCCCAGGTACCTATTTACTGCTAGGTAACAGGGGCATTCAGGGTGAAAGAAACTTTGCCCATTTGTTTCTGCCTCGTGCGGGAATCAAACCCGCGCCACAGAATTACGAGTCCTGCGCGCTATCCACCAGGCTACGAGGCCCCTATTTCCCCTACGAGGGGGAATTTTGCCATTACACAAGTTAAATGGGATTAGCAAAACTTATCAGATAATCCACGTGTTTACCATGTTGCGGACTGTGTATAAGGTTCCCCACACACACACACACCAGGGGGGGGACCTGGTAGCCTGGAGGATAGCGCGCAGGCCTCATAATTCTGTGGCGCGGGTTCGATTCCTGCACCAGGCAGAAACAAATGGGCAAAGTTTCTTTCACCCTGATAACCCTATTGCTAGCAGTAAATAGGTACCTGGGAGTTAGTCAGCTGTTATGGGTTGCTTCCCAGGGTGTATGCGTGTGTGTGTGTGTGTGTGTGTGCGCGGTGTGGGGAAAAAAATAGTAGTTAGTAAACAGTTGATCGACAGTTGAGAGGTGGGCCGAAAGAGCAAAGCTCAACCCCCGCAAACACAACTAGATGAATACATCTAGGTGAATACACACACTTCTCAAGTTTTACAAACTATTTGGACTGTATTCTTCCTATGCAGCACAGCACAAGAATTCTATAAACTAAATTTGCGGCTGGAAAGCGGAGGGAACATTAAATATTAATGTAGGTATTTTCTAGACTTTAGTGAAGAAGTGGATTTTTGCAGATCCCTGGAGCCTAACCCAATTATTTTATCATGTATCATACTGTGAGTATGTGTGAAGTTTATGATTTACACAGGTTTTACAAGAACATAATCACCATGCAAACTGAAGGCTGCTTATGACTGAATCATCCTCAATATCATATTAAATTAATACTGCCTCAGTGACACCTGCATTTACCTTTGCGATTTAAAAAACACATAAACAAATGATAAATTTTAAAGTTAACTTACCACGACTATAATTCCCAAGTAGAAGAGGCCATCTTTCCCATGTGACAGCACATCTTCGCCCTCTATAAAGCGTGGCACTTTCTCCTTCGTAGTGCTGTCTGGTGTGACAAACCCACTGTCTCCCTCGCTGTCCCCATCCTGGACAAGGCAAACAAGAATTAAACTTCTTCATACTTGGCACAGACTTTAAAAGTCACTTCTTCATTTACTTATACTCTATAATAAGGCATACGACAGGAACAAGTAAACTAAAGCTGTCTTAAAAATCTATCAGATGATAACATATTCTACAACAGACACAACAAAAACAAAAACTAGATATCAACACACACCAAATTAAATACCTACATACTGTATTCCAAGACCAACATAATTTAATACCAATTAAAAGCTACACAGGATAGTTCTACTAATACGAAAAATGGAACAGAAGTGAACGTCATTTTAATTTCAATTTATTGTCTGACAATATCAAGCATCTCGTTCTTGATAAAGATATTTACAGTTGGGTCAGGAGGAAGAAGGAGAGACTACACAGAGTGAGGGGGAGAGAAATGCCCGAGTTGGGGAGAAATGTGGGAGTGGGGAAATATGGGAGAGAAAAAATGGACAATACATGTAAGTAAAAAAAGAGGGATTGATTGTTGTATATATTGAGAAAGTGGAGAGATAGTGAGGAACAACTGATAAATGTCTCCTTTGACACTACCAAGAGATCACTGGCCCGGTATAAATGAATATTCATCTAACCTTTGAATTAGGTTTACAGATACAGTAGCTTATACATGAACTGTTAAGTAATTCACTAGTCCTCCCTAAGGAAATGTTGAAGGGTGACATATTTAACTACGTATATGACATCGTGTCTGTCAAAGAAATGATATTTGCTGATCTTGCTTTCTTTGAATCTTTATTAAAAATAATAAATCATCTTATTGTGAGGACTGGTATGACAGGCATTAAATGCCATGATATGTGGATGTGAAATCACAGAATTAAAAATAAGCTACTGTACATTAATTCTTGTGAGTGAATGATGGTGGTGGTGGCAGGTATATAGAGATGGCAAGGAAGGGTGTTGGTGTGGTTGTATGATTTGTGGGAGTTTGCAACCCTAGCATTATGTGACTATGTAGTTTGGTATAGAGTTCGTCTTATTTTAACTTTACCGACATAAGAGTTCTTTATCACATCACATCTTGAAGTCGTGGAGATGGTGGATTTCACTTTTTTTCTTTCTTTCAGTGTATCCCACTTGTTGACCACACGTATAATGTTTACCTTCCTGAGTACGATTAATTTGGTTTGGTTTTGTGGTTTCTATACATTTGTTACCTAGCATTAAACCATATTATTTGGTGTTTTCGTTATGCACTGGGATGCCAAGAAGGTTGTTTCTTATCCTTCTACATTCTCATGCCCTTCAACATGTTCCTGGGTCTATTTCCTTTCCTCAGCTCAACTACACGTTATTATGAAAAGAAAGTGCTAAGCCCAGAAGGCTATACAGTACTGTACGTAACACACACAGTGTTACAGAATATTCCTATACTGTACAGTGGTACCTTCTTTTTCGAATTTAATCCATTCCCAGAGACAGTTCGAAAGTCGAAAATTTGAAAACCGAAACAAACTTTCCATTAATAAATAATGTAAATTGAATTAATTGGTTTCACACCACCAAAAATACTAACAAATACATTTTATACATAATACTACAGTACTTATATTTTGTACTACAGTATGTACAAGTATATTTTCCCTTTATAGAGGACCCTTGTTAGCATATGGAAAAACAGTGACGAAGGGGAAAAGAGGAGAGGTGTTAGTGTTTGGAAGGGGAGTCCTCTTCCATTATAACAGCAGTGATGACATTTCTGGGGTACTCTCTCTCTTACATTTTACAGGCATACCACTAGGACCTGGTTGTGGCTCACTGCTTGCTTGTTTTACTAAGAATCTGTCTGTAGACACTTGCTTTTCTACATTTGAACACTTGTCTGTAGTGAGACTTCACAGTCTCATTTTGAATGATCTCTTGTTTTTCCTCTATAGTCATCCTCACGACAATTTTCTTAGGTTGACCTTTACCACTGACTTTCTTGGAAACCATGGCGTGATATATAATGAGAACTATTATGTTGAGAAACCAAAAAAGCATAAAAGCAATGAAATTCCTCACAAACAATTCAAGCGCAGTCGTCACTAGGTTTGAGACACTGGTAAACTGAGGAGCGCTACATGCTCGATCGGCCCAAACGTGTATCGACAAACTCGAGCACCAAAGCAAACCTCAAAAACAATAAAAATTTTGAAGAAATCAAGCTCGAGAACCGAAAGATTCGAAAAGGAGGACGTTCAAAAACATGGAGGTAAGAGATATGGGGCGACCAAGACAAACGAGCGTCAAAAATCAACCACAAAAGCTTAGCGGAATCCTTGAACACAAAGGGGTGACCATAAAGCGACAAAGAAGGACGAAGAACGACACGCTTCCGAGTTTAAGGTCATAGCACAGGTCTTAGATGTAGAGAACCTGAAGCCATGATTGGTGGCTCAAGACGACACGGCATCAATCACAAGTTGAAGCCGGCGATGAAGGAGAGGCGAATCATCACCCTGACAGCAAAGGGTAAGATCATCGACATAGAGAGCGGAGAAGACGCCTGAAGGAAGAGAGGCAATAAGACCATTGAGGGCAACCAGGAAAAGAGTAGTGCTCAGAACACTACCCTGGGGCACACCTTCGTAATGTTCAAAAGAGGCAGAGAGAGCGGTACCAAGCCTCATCCGAAAGAAACGACGGGAGAAGCTGCGAAGAAAGAGAGGGAGATGAGCACGAAGGCCAAAAGAATGAAGCTGGGATAGAATATGATATCACCAAGTGGTATCGTAAGCCATTTCCAGGTCAAAAAGGACGGCAACAACGGAAGTCTTCACAGCAAAAGCAGTACGAATATAGACCTCCAAGTTCACCAGGAAATCTGTTGTGCTGCAGCTCTTGCGGAAACCAAATTGAGAAGGGGAGAGGTGGTGATGGTGTTCACAGGGAGGACAACAGCATCGAGCCAGTCCTCAGGGACTGACGACGACTCCCAGGTCCAATTAGACAGACTCAGTAAATACTGAGACGTGCATGGAGGAAGATGGCAAAGCATCTCATAATGAATGCCATCGGAGCCCGCCGCCGTAGAACCGCAGAGGGCCAGGCCAGACCAAAGTTTGAGAGAGAGAGAGAGAGAGAGAGAGAGAGAGAGAGAGAGAGAGAGAGAGAGAGAGAGAGAAGAGAAAGAGAAGACAGCCCAAGCACAGTCCGTATTCCACCAGGGAACGCACTTCCGTGAGCCCCGAGAGGAAGAATGAGTTGCCAGCAAGTAACACACTAGAAGGTGTTGAGGCTAGATCTCAAGTTTTGAAAATGGTTTATAGAATTGAATAGAGAAAAGTGTTATGTTATGAAACTAAGTTAATAAAAACAATCCTCATGAGACATACATTTTAGGGGACAAGAAATTATTGAAATCAAAGGAAGTAAAGGAACTATGAATGGCTATAAATGATGAACATTCTCCAGAATGCCATATATGGCATTGATTAAAATTTCTACATAATGCTGACAAACTTTATATTGGCATTCAATTATATGGATAGACAAATCTTGACAAGTTTATTAACAACATTGCAAGTAAATGGGAGGAATATAAAGCTGTGGTGTTGTTACTGCTCCTGAAGAAACATCATAAAGTGACAGTAGTAAAATTGATGTAATAAATATAAAGTATATTATAGAGTAATGGAGCTGAAGTACACTACTCCAGCTAAAACCAGAAAACATCCTTAAACTAACAACACAACTGCAAGAGCTACATGAGAATATTTCTTTTCAAATTAAGTCAAGGAACACTGGAACACACTGCAGAATGATAGCATATTCAAAAAGAACAGAAAGCTTGAAAATACAGTATAATAAACTTTCAAAGGAAGGCATAACACAATGAGTTTGCACTCTTGTAAAGCACAATAAAGTAATGGTAGTGAGGACACAAGACAAACTGTGATACTGTACTTGCCTTCATGGTCATTTGTCAGAGATTAAGAAACAATCGGAATACAGCATTAGGTGAAGAAGCCAATTTGTGATACTATAAAAAATCTTTCAAGTCCTTATTTAGCACATTAGGACTGGTAACTAAAAAGCTGCTTTTGTAGACCAGACCACACACTAGAAGTTGAAGGGACGACGACGTTTCGGTCCGTCCTGGACCATTCTCAAGTCGATGAGAATCGACTTGAGAATGGTCCAGGAGGGACCGAAACGTCGTCGTCCCTTCAACTTCTAGTGTGTGGTCTGGTCTACATACTTCAGCCACGTTATTGTGACTCATCACCTACAAGCTGGTTTTGTTTCACCTCGCCATAATAAATATTGAAAGCTGTTGCCACTATTGAATTGATACTTAGTAATCAGCCTTTAAGACAATGTACATTAACACACACACACTTAGTTACAAATCACAAACTGCGTTTTGATTATCATTACAAGTCTTGAACAAATGTAGGCTTACTTTGTCAAACAAAAAATACCATACATCAGGTTCTTATATAATTATTTACTAGAAAATATATTTCCCTATTACACGTGCTCATAAGCATCGATTTTCACTCAGTACGGAAATGCAGACAAGTGTGTTTTGTAGCCCTGATCAAGTAAGAGAAACAATCACCATTACTTAGTCTACCACATTAAGGCATATGCACGTTAACAATGGTCCCAATAACTACAAGTTATAAAACAAATTGTTATACAGGGTCTTAAGACTGTTAGTGCAGATATGTTATGTGTTAGTTTAATTAAGCCATATAAAAGATACTGAAAGCAATGTTAAAATGTATACAAATGCAGCAGTACATTATAATCTTTATGAAACAATATATTCATCTTGTTCAGTACAAACATTATATACAGTACAGTAAACAATACAAAAGCTCTAATTGAAATAATTCTAAAGTAGGAAAGGCTTAAATTCTGCATCGAGGAGGCGTTTGTGTGACAACCTTTCTTAATGCTCTCGACATCTTGATCCTTAATTAAGATCTTTAATTTTACATAATGTTTGCGACCATTTTTCTTTAAACTT